AGATGAGGCAGATCAAGAGAGAGGTTATATGCACTTCAGTGGCAAAGCTGTAAAAATGGAGTTATACAACACCCTTGGAGCTCAGATGATTTCATCAAGAGTTCCAAATGACAAACATGGATTTGATATTTGCCCTTTTGGGTTCCAGTCTTGATTTGGACTGATCTTTCTATCCTATGCCCTGCTTTATTTGATTTTCTGTTGCTGTGGTAAGACTGTCTGACCAAAGGCAACTTGTAGAAGTGAGTATTTGGTTTACAGTTCCAGGTCACAATCCATTGTTGGAAAGAGTCAGGGCAGGAACACAAGGCAGGAACCTATGGGTGGTAACCATGGAAGAACACACTTGCTCTCACTCTTTGGCTTGCTCAGGGGCTTACAATTAGCTACATTGCTTATATAGCCCACTCTTACCTGCCTTAGGAATTGTTCAGCCTACAGTGGATTGGGACCTCCTACAACAATCAAAATTTGCAACAATCCCTCACAGTCATGTCCATATACCAACTGATTTAGGAAATTTCTCATGAGGTTTCTCCTCTCAGTTGGTTCTAGGCTTTGTCAAGTTGACATTTAAGGCCAACCAAGACAATCATCATTCCTCCTTTTTGGACTGGTATATTTACTCTCTGGTATTAACATTATGTAACTTGCTCTTTATTTGTACAGGGCTTACCATTCAAACATTGCTTAGGTACCAGAAGACATTCCATATTAGACTTTTAAGTACTGTTGAAATTCTTGGACACTCTGAGAACATTTGAATTTGAACTGAATGTGTTTTGTATTATATTATAGCCATGAGCCTATAGAGATAGGGAAAAGAAGGTTTTGGCCTAAAAAGTGATGTTTTATGGATTCAAGTTCACAATGGCTGAATTTAAAGTGGTTCATATTGTCAACAAATTCTAGAATTGTCTGGAAAATAAGCCTCTAAGTATTTTGTAGAGGATTATCTAGATTAGTGTTTACTCTGGATGTATCTGTGATAGTCCTTCTAGATTATGTTAAGTGAGGTGAGAAAAGCATGCCTACTTGTGGGCAAGATCATTCCACTGGCTGGGGTCCTGGATAGAAAGAAAAGGAGAAGAAGCTGAATCCAAATTTTTATCACTCTCTGCTCCCTGACATGGTCACAATGAGATGATCAGTCTCATTGACTATCAGTCCTGTAAGCTTCCACTGTGAATTCTCTCCAGTGGAAAAACTTTATTCTTGAACTGTGAGTTAAAATAAACCCTTTTTTCCTTAAGTCAATTTTTCAGATATTTTGTTGCATCAGTGAGACAAGTAGCAAATACAATAAATTAATAAAATAATCTTGTTCTACAAACAAAATTTACAAATTGTATAAGAAGTTGCTATGATTTGTATGGTGTGATTCATATGAAAATGTATTTATAAATTTTACACAATATGCCAAAATATTTATAACACATAGATGCTACATGGAAACTTTAGAATATTCAGATACTATGAGTATACAGTATCTGAGCATTTGTTAATTAGGAATAAATTAGAAATCAAGGTATTATAAATGATTCTGGTAGGTTTGTTCTACAGTACATGTCCAAATGAACTTCACCTGAAAAGCTAATACCTGTTTGGTGTACACCCATGGTGCTTGGTAATTATGGACACTGAGCAGTTCTTACTGATATTATACCTATCACGTTCTCCTGCATCTAGAAATCTTCAGAGCATTAATGATTTAAATGTTGCATTGAATTTAAGTACACTTTCAATTAAGGATATTTACATCCTTAATTGTATTAAGGATATCTGTACCTATAGATGACATTTCACTATTTTTCACATGTCATAATTTCTTTTCTTTTCTTTTTTAAGTTAATCCTCACAACAATCCACTGAAACAGGCTAAATTAAAATACTTACTTTGCCAACAGAAATCCGGGTCACAAAGTAGTTTGAAGAAACTTATCTACTACCCTAATATCATTCAAGTATAGTGTGAGGATTCAAACAGTTCCTCATTAATTTCCATGAGAAGTTTAGAAATTTCTGTTGCCTTTAATATACTTATATGTTAAACAACTAAGTAGGGTACTGCAGTGGTTACCTACAATAACTGTTATAATTATGGAAAAGACGTAATACTTCAGAAGTGATTTTAGGAGTGCTGAGGATGTAGCACAGTGGTACAATGCTTCTACAGAATGTATGAGACACCATGTTTGATCCTGAGCATATTAACAAACATCATCATCAACAACAAAAAGCTAATAAAATAATTTTAGAGAAATCTCATAAAGATAATATCTAAAATAGTTTTTGTTTTCATTTTTAGAATTGCTAAAATAGTACCATGTCTACATAGTGAATTCCAGGACAGCTGGGGCTACAGGGAGACCCTGTCTCAAAAAAACCGAAAAAAAAAAAAAAAAGAAGTACCATGGGAGGTCGCCTTTCCATCTACTTGTGTCTTCCTCAAACTCTTTCATCAAAATTTACAGTTTTCATTGAGGAAGTCTTTAATTTCTTTGGTTAGGTTAATTCTTAGATTAAAAAAATATTTTATTTACTATTTTTATTTTATGTGTATGAGTGTATTGCCTGCATGTAGGTAAGTGCACCCATGTCATGCAATGCCTGCAGAGGACAGAAGAGGCTGTCGGATCCCCTGGAACTAGAGTTGCAGACAGTTGTTAGCTGTCATGTTGGTGATGGGATTCAAATCCAGGTCTTCTGCAAAAACAACCAGTGTTCTTAACCCATGAGCTATCTCTTCAGCCCATCCTTAGACAGTTTTTAAGCTATTATGAATCAGTTTTATTCAGAAATCTTGCTCTAATTGTTTGTTACTTGTATATATAAAGGTCACTGATTTTTGTAAACTGATTTTGTATCCTTCCATTCTGCTGAAAATGTTGATCATTTCTAGAAGTTTTCTGGTAAAATTTTGGAGATCTTTCAAGTATAACCTGTCATTTACAAATAGGAATAATGTGATATCTTTTTATCTTTTCCAGCTAGTACTGCTTTGATTTCTTTCTCCTGTCATTCATATATTTATGAATATATATA